GATAAGCAAAGCACCTGCCCACTAGCTTCTTACCTCTATCTCAGGCTGAATGGGCTGATCCTGTCTCCATGAGCTCTCACCAAGTGCCAGACTGTAATCTGTCCTCAGCGTGACTGGAGAATGAATGCCTCCTACTGAATACTGAAGGCCCTGCTTCTATCTTTTATACCCCTCTAGTTCTGGGATCTGTAACTGATCTGTTACTCTTTTAGACTAATTCAATCTCGTGTAGATCAGGGTGGCCTTGGACTCACAGAGATCGGCCTACCTCTAAATCCTGAGCCCTAGGATTAAAGGTGTGTAACATCAACCCCTAGCTTCTGGCTGCTGGGATTAAACGTGTGTGTCTGGCTTCGATGGCTTGTGGCTGACTTTGCTTTCTGAATCCTCATGCAAGTGTTAATAAATCATAAATCATAAATAACATATCACTGCACCACCATCTCCACCTAGTTTGTGTCTTGTGATGTGGACTTCTGTTTTGTTTTTGAGACTGCATTTCTTTGTGTAGCTCTGGCTGTCCTGGAACTCACTCTGTAGACCAGGCTGGCCTCGAACTCATAGAGATCCACTTTCCTTTGCCTCAGAAGTGCTGCGATGAAAGGTGCCACCATACTCAACATGATGGGGACTTAGGATGGGAGGGACCACAGCTTTTGCAGTCCAGCCCCCAGCAGCGTTGTTCAGCATGTACACAGTGAAAGCCTTCCCTTCCTGGGAGGGAATAAAGGTATCAGGGTGCTGATGGACAGCTACTCACTCCAGAAAGGGAACCAATGGCATCAAAGTAACGATGCCACCAAAGTCCAACTTGGTGACCCAGTGAGTTTATTGGGGTTACTTACAAGAGCACAAGTGACTCAAAGGCAGCTGCATCACCAAAGCCTGCCCCGGCGTGCCCGATGACTCACAGGAGCTGCAAACTTTGATCTCCCTGTGCGCCTTGCAGGCAGCTCCCATCCTCAGCAATCCTCACTGCTTATAAAACACGGGGGGATGGCGGCCTTGTGAGTCTGGTACATTTTAGGGACTTCCTAAGGTTTCTGAGTTGGCTTCTTGAGTCCTAAGGGGCTTCCTCCAAGAGGTCATTCCTGACCAACAGTGTTGCTCTGGCCTTCCTGCCAGCCTCGGTCTCTACTGTAAAGGGACCTGCCTATTCTGACCTAGCTAGCACACAGGTAGTCCGTGAGATAAGGGCAGTGAGACAGCATTTTGTCAACAGGCCCTGTCTCTTTAAACACTTAATTAGACCAGTGACTGTTGACTATGTGGCTCTGTCAAAGGTCTTGGATTCCTTCAGGGACATACCCAGAAGTGGCACAGCTGGGTCATACGGCACTGTATGCAGTTCCTTGAGAAACATCCATATTGGGTGACTTCTTTTTTTGGTGTTTAATTGTTATAGTTCTTTATAGATTCTGGATATTAATCCACTCTCGGAACTCTTGGATATACAGTTGACAAAGACATTCCCATTTTGTCGGCTGTGATGACACCTGCCCCTCCCCAGGAGTTATTGGGGAGTATTATATTGCTATGAAATATTCTCCTATTGAGTGATGTGGTAGCCCCAGCCATGTAGGCAGAGTCTTTAGGCTTGTTTTTCTTTTAACCCTTTTTTCCCTGTAGAAATATAAAGAAGGAGCCTTGGGGCTGGAGCAATGGCTCAGGGCACTTGCTGCTCTTGCAGAAGATCTGGGTTCAATTCCTCCTCACCCACGAACATCTGTAGCTCCAGCTTCAAGGGGACTGGGCACCCTATTCTGGTCTCCACAGCCACCAGCACACATATGGTGCACATACATACATGCAGGTAAACACTCATACTCATAGAAAAGATAAGTAAATATTAAGGAAGAAATCATGGCAACTTAGTTTCTGGGGCCGGTAGGCCTGTGCCCATGGGGACCCAGTGGACCTTCTCGGTCCTCTAGGACAAGATTCTATGTTTCCACCGGGCAGGAGATGTAGTGTAGGTTCTGTTCTTGCCTGTGGCTGACATGTAAGGGGCCACCTGCTGAGAAGACATGGCACTGTCATCACTATGCCATGAGAGCAGGAATGTCACAGCCAATCCCCTTATGAGTAGAGAGTTCTCTAGCTGGTCTAAGTAAGAAGATAATCCACCAGCTCATGAAATGGAAAAGGCTGGGTATTCAGACATGGCTGGATCCAGGAATCCTACAAAGACACAAAAGAGAGAGGCCTTGGCTCACACCAAGGCAGGAATGTAGGCTAAACAGCAAAAAAACCAAACCAAAACCATCTCTTGGGTACTTAGCTGATGCCTAAATCCTGTTTAACTATGTAATATCAGATATAAATTTGAATATGAAATTCAGGCTCAAGTGTGTTTTGAAGATTATTTTTAATTCTGAGTCTGTGTGTGTGCACATGTGAGTGTGGGTGCCTGCAGAAACCAGCAGAGGGAGTCGGGTCCTCGGGAACTAGAGTGATTGTGAGCCATCCAGTATGGGTTCTCAGGAAGAGCATGGGGAGCTCTTAACTGATGAGCACCTATCAATCCCAGGACTCAGTTCTTTTAGGAAACATTAAAGAACCACTGCAGTGAACACCGCATGCATAACAGCATGAGAACCAGCATTTAACTGGATAGGATGCCTACTAAAGGGCTGGTCGGATGTGAGGCTCTGGATCTGTCCCCAGCACTACAAACAAATAAGGTGACCTTTCTAGGCACTGCCAGGACCTTCCAAGGAGCCCCTTCTCTTTAGCTTGCCTGATGATGTCTGCAAGACTTCCCCCTGTAGTCCCCACCTGTCTGGTACAGGCTGGCTTCATGCAGCTCAGTTTTGGCCTGGCCACCAGGCAAAACAAGAGGTTGCCCATTTATGGACTCCTGGCACAGCTGCACGTCTTTATTGGCGAGTGTGTGTACTGCCTATTCATGCTGGAGCACTGTTCGGAGCTAGGTCAGCTGGCTTACAGCAGCGTTTTGTACAGCTGCGGCATGCCGTGCCTTTGCTGTGTGTATCAGACTCTTCTCTTGTAGCAAGTTCCTGTGTCTACCTGGTGTTTTCCTGTC